AAGACCTGTACTCAGAAAAATACACAACATTGAAGAAAGAAAGGAAAACACAAATAAATGGAAGCATATACCGTTTTCATGGAGTGGATGAATTAACATCATCAAAATGTTCATACTACCCAAAGCAATTTATAGATTCAACACAATCCCTATTAAAATACAAATGACATATTTCACAGATAAAGAACAAATATTTCAAAAATTTGTATAGAACCATAAACAACCCTGAATAACCTCAGCAATTTTGAGAAAGAAGAACAAAATAGGAGGGATCACAATGCCTGACATCAAACTATATTAGAGGGCCACTGTAATTAAAACAATCTGATACTAGCATAAGAACAGACACGTAGATCCATGGAACAGAATAGGGAGTCCAGAAATAAACCCATGTCTCTACGGTCAATTAATATTCAACAAAGGGGGCAGGAGCATAAAATGGAGTAAAAATAGCCTCTTCAACAAATGCTGCCAGGAGAGATGAACAGCTACATGAAAAAAAAAATGAAACTTGACCACCAACTCACACCATACACAAAATAAACTCAAAATGGATAAAATACTTAAATACAAGTCATGATGCCATAAAAGTCTTAGAGGAGAACATAGGCAGGAAAATTTCAGATATTCCACACAGCAATATTTTCACTGATATGCTCCCTAGAACAAAGGATATAAAGGAAAGAATAAACAAATGGGACTACATCAAACTAAAATGCTTCTGAATGGCTAAAGAAAACATTGGCAAAATGAAAAAGAAACCAACCTTTTCATATGGGAAAATATATTTGCCAATGATACCTTGGACAAAAGTTTGATCTCCACAATATATAAACTTACAGGACTCCACACAGGAAGAAAAACAACCCAATTTAAAAATGCATGAAGGACCTGAACAGACACTTTACCAAGGAGAACATACACAGGGCCCAGAGACAAATGACAGGATGCTCAGCATCACTAGCCATGAGAGAGATGCAAATTAAAACCACAATGAGATACTACTTCACACCATACAGAATGGCCATCATATACAAATCAACAAACAACAAGTGCTGGTGAGGTTGTGGAGAAAAGGAAACCCTAGTGCACTGTTGGTGGGAATGCACACTGGTCAAGCCACTGTGGAAAATAGTACAGAATTTCTTCAAAAAACTAAAAATAGAATTGCGTTTTGACCCAGCAATTCCACTGTTGGGATTATACCCTAAGAACCCTGAAATCCTGAAATTCAAAAGAACCTATGCACCCCAATGTTCATAGAAGCATTACTTACAATAGCCAAGTGCTAGACACAGCCTAAGTGCCCATCGGTAAGCGAATGGATCAAAAAACTGTGGTATATTTACACAATGGAATACGATGCAGCAGAAAGAAGGAACTCCCACCCTTCACAACAGCGAGGATGGAACTATAGACCATCATGCTACGTGAAATAAGCCAGGAGGTACAAGACAAATAGTGTATGATCTCACCTATAAGTGGAACCTAATCAACAAAACAAATAAGCAAGAAAAATAGGATCAGAGACATGGAAATAAATAACAAAAAACCCCACTGGAAAGTGACCAGAGGGGTTGAGGGAGGTGAATAAGGGGGAAAGAATGGGAAGGGTCAAGTCAAGGAACAGGTATAAAGAACCCATGAACAAAGACAACAGCAGGGGAAGGCGGTGGTATTAAATGTGAGAGGTGGGGGTGGGTAGGGCAGGGGAGAGTAATGGGGGTAAAATGGGGACAACTGTAACTGAACAATTTTAGAAAAAGAAAAAAATAAAATTGGCAGAGGACCTAAATGGACACTTCTCCAAAGAGAATAGATGGCCAACAGACATGAATATGCTCAAGATCACTAATCATCAGAGAGATGGAAATTAAAACCACAATGGGATATCACTTTATACCTGTCAGAATGGCTATCATCAATAGATTAAAAAACAGGAAGTGTTGGCAAGGATGTAGAGAAAAGGGAACCTTCATGCACTGATGATGGGATTGCAGACTGGTGCAGCCACTATGGAAAACAGTATGGAGATTTCCTCAAAATATTAGAAATAGAACTACCGCATGACCCAGCAATCCCAACTTTGGGTATTATCCAAAGAAATCCAAAACACTAATTTGAAAAGATATATGCATCTCTATGTTCATTGCAGCATTATGCGCTGAGGTGGCGGGGGCCTTAAGGTCCCTGTTTGGGCGCCACCTGAGGCAGAGGTCGAACTCTGGTCCAGCAGAGGCTGCTCTGGGTTGTCACAGATGGGGAAATAAAAATAAGCTGTCCCAGACACTTTTCTCTGTCTGCCAGGAGAAGGGAGGTGGCAATTCCCTCTAGTGAGGAATGCCCCAAGCCCCTGTGCTCAATGGCTTTTATTGAAAGGGTTATCAGTGAGGCTAGATAGTAGGAATGTACAGGTGATCTCATTACATCAGTATGTTAATGTTTACAGAGAATAGATGATGTTTTGAAAAAAACAAATGGCAGGAACACACTGATTTACATGGGTCCAAGGTGGGACGAGAAAACATAAAGGCCAAATGGTTTAGGGTCAGGGTCCGTGAATAATGTAAATTTCCTTCCCAGCATGAGCTGGTTATCATAGCTTTTGAAGAAAAAACAAAGCATGCTTCAAAGAGTGTAATTTACTTCTAGGCCTGATTTCCCCCAGGAACCACCCAATACAGTTCAGGGCTGCCTCCAGTATTGTTTCATGCCTGAGCCAGGCGAGGAGAGTAGAACTGTGAAAAGATAAGGAGACCTCCTCCAGATAGAATGAAGACTCCAGCCTTATCAAAGCCAAGGGGTGAGGGTCTTTCACCCTTCCTCTGTGTTCCCCAAGTCCTTCCCATCATGGCCACTTGTGACTGTGCCTGTCTTAGGTTGCCCCTGCCTTCGAGGTGTCTTACCTGTCATTGACTAACCAGCCATTGTCTGGGGCTAAGCATGGTGATGTGAGGGATGCAGGGCCGTGCCCCTGCCAGGGGGACAGGTTTTGTCTTCTCAGTGGCCTATTTTCCCAAGGCCTCCTTGCTCAGCTCCAGCCTTGGGGCCTTCTCGCCTACCGGCAATGCTACAGTCTCTGAAACCAAACAGGATGGTTCCCAACAATTCACAATAGCCAAGATATGAAAGGAACCTAAGTTTCCATTGATGGACTAATGGATAATTAAGATGTAGTACATATACACAATGGATATTACTCAACCATAAAAAAAAAAAAAAAGAAATCTTACCATTTGAAAAAACATGGATGGACCTAGAGGGTATTATGCTAAGCAAAATAAATCAGACCAAGAAAGAAAAATATATGGTTTCATTCATACAGGGTGGGGCAAAAGTAGGTTTACAATTGTTTGTAACAGAAAATAATATAATAATTAATAAATAGTAATACAAGAGTAAACTGCGTTTAGGATACAACTGTAAACCTACATTTTCTTCACCCTATATGTGTAACCTAAAAAAACGACACAAAACAGAAAGAAACTCATAGAAACAAAAACCAAATTGATGGTTGCCAGATGAAAGAGGCTCAGGGGCTGGGCAAAAAATGTGAAGGGATTAAGAAGCACAAATTGGCAGTTACAAAATAGTCATAGGAATGTAAGCTACAGCACAGTCTATCATATCCTAATAACTATACATGGTGTCAGGAGGGTACTAAAACAGTCTGCTCTCCACCTGAAACTAATACATTGAGTGCCAACTATAATTGATAAAAAATTTCAATAAGAGAACAGCTGTATTACCTCCAAAGTTCCCCATGCTGTCCCCTTGCAGTCAAGCTCTCCCTCCTCCCCGAGCCCCTGTCGGCCCTTGATATATTCTCCACCCCTAGAGTTTTGCCTTTTCCTGAATGTCATGTAGATGGATTCATAATGTATATAAGTTTTTCAACCTTGCTTTTCCCTTTAGCCTAGTGCCCTTGGTATTCATCTATGATATTTTGTATATCAACAATTTGTCCCTTTTTATTGCTGAATAGAATTCCACTGAATGGATAAAGCTACTATAAACATGCATGTAGGCTCTATGTTACCATTTCTCTAGGTATATAGCTCTATATTTAAATTTATTTTTAAAAATCACCAAACCATTTTCCAGAGTGGCTGTAAAATTTTAGAGTCCCACCTACTATCTGTGAGAAGTCTAGTTTCTCTGCATCTTCACCGGTATTTGGTATTGTCGCTGTGTAATGGTATTTCATTGGGGTTTAAGTCTGAAGTTTTCTAATGACTAAAATATGGAGCATATTCTCATTTGATATCTATTTATCTTCACTGTTAAAATATTTCTCCCATTTTTGTTGGATCCAAAATTATTTTTAACTGAGTTTTCTTTTTTACTTTATTAAAATAGTGAGTTTATTTCACATGTATGTTTGGATATGGAATATCACCTCAAGTTGGCAATGGGATATCCCATTTCCATTTGTCTCCTGTCATAACACTCCATACATACAAAAAACCAAGCAAAGGGGGGAGTTCCCTCTTTAAAAACTAAACAGGCATTTTGGACAACACATTCTTGACAATGGAACTTGGACAACATTTATTAGACAAAGTAGAGAAAGTTCTTACTATGCATTATAAAAAGGACGTCCAGATAGATAACACACTGTTCAAAAGGTCATATAACTGTTCATGGCGTACTATCCGCTTCCTTCCTCCCCAAAAGTTCTCGAGAGCAGTGATCAGTGAATGATCTTTGTTTTGTTCACCGGCATACTTCCAACTGGCTTGGCTCACATATACTTTCGCTCAATGACTTGGAGGGGAACCTCCCCTTCCTTACCGAGGACCCGGGAACCCACGGCTCTGAGAAACACTCAGGGTGGCTCCAAGTCCGGAAGTGGGGTCTAGGGACTCGCGGACTCGCTAGGGCCCGGCCTCTCCGACAAGCGCGGAGAACTACACTTCCCAGAATCCTCGGGTCCTCGCGTGGGTTACACATCCCAGAGCGATTAGCGGCCGCCCTACCCCGCCTCCGGCCCCGCCCCTCCCGGACCTGTCGCCCCCCGAGAGTGGCTTCCCCGGCCGGAGACCTACAGGAGTCTCAAGCAGAGGCCGCCGTCCGGCCGGGGAAGTTCCGGAGCCCCCTTCCTACGGACCGCGCCCGGTGGAGGCAGGGCTCCCGCAGCCCCCGAGGCCTGGGCGAGGTGAGCGGCTGAGGGTCCGCGGGATGCGGGAGGTAGGACCGGGGCCTCGGGAGGATGCGCGGCACAGGCCCGAGAGGCGCGCGCTGGGCCTTTGTGGGCGCGAGCGGCCAAACGCCGGGCATCCCGGCTCTGTCCGCCTCCCCCAAGAGCTGCCCCGCAGTCCTGCCCTTGAACGCGGCACTTCGTCCTCGTTGCCCCAGGTCCCAGCCCCCTTCCTGCTTCCCCAGCGGCCGTTCCCAGCGCGCTCCCCGCCCGGCCCCTGCCGGCCTTTGAGTCTACTATCGGCCGTCATTCAACGAGAGGAAAGGTGTTTCCTCCGCTCCGGCCGCCGCTGCCCTCCCGGGGGGCGAGCGGAACGATGTTTTCCCCGAGAAGTGAAAGGCCGACTTCCCTCATTGGCAGAGTCAGGACCTTGACCCGAGTCTTTGTTTTCTGTACCAACTTCTCAGCCAGCAGCCCCCTCCCCGCCCTGGGGAAGCGGATGTTTACCCTTGCCGAGGCAGTTTTCTCTAATTGTCTGGAAATTGATTCCTTGACAGGAAGGAGGGGCATTGGGTGGGAAAGGCTTGTGGCGGAGAAAGTTGTCGCTGGCGCGCAGTGAGGCCAGAGGGGATGCTCTGGGGCCGCGGTGGGAACCCTGGGCGCCCTCGCCGGCTGTGTGAGCGCGCGCGCCGCTCGCACTCCGCCCTCAGTTTCCTGGTCTGTAAAGTGGGGGTGATTACCGTGCCCGCGGTGCTGGGGGACTGAACGACGCGGGCGGGGCCTGGCTCGCGGCGAGGCCCCGATTCGCTGCTGCTGCTGCTGATCGGTGCCAGGTTGGCGCCCGCACCAGGTGGCCCAGCCCTTCTCTCCGGCCCTGCTTGTCCCTGGCTCCTCCCGTCTCCCCTCTCTGAGGGCACGTGGGGCATTCTCAGGTGGCCTTAGGATTTGGAGAGCTGCTGATTCTGGGGGCCCAAAGTGGAAGGGGCCTCTCTCTCCTGGTTCCCATTTTCTTCACTCAGATCTGCCTTCTGGAGACTCTACCCATCCTCAGGGGGAAGAGCAGGAAAGGAAGACATGGCTCCTGAGCAGAGGGAAGCCAGCTCTCAGGTGAGTTCACTGTATCTCAGATCTTAGGGACAGATTGCTGTCGTTTTTGTTTATTTGTTTTTGTTTGTTTTCCATTTTCGCTCCAACTGACGTTCCCTACCCAGTGCAGCCTTCCTCGGGGTTTGGAGCCCAAGTCCTTTTCCCTTGAAAGAGTTGGTCCACCCTGGTGGACGGTGGATTCTGCAGTGAATGCTTGTCTCTACCCCAAATCCCTATCTAGTGTTTCCCTTTTCTTTTCCTAATAGACACACTTGTATTCATTAATCTCAATTCAGTGCATGATTACTAATTTGACAGGTAAGATGCCACACGTCATATATCACTGGGGACAGAACAAACATCATACTTGGCAGCGTTCCTGCCTGGCCCTGCCTCCTTGGCTCACCCACACTTCCCTCCCTACCCTTGGCAAGAATGTTTTTCTTTCTTTCCACCCCTAAGGGTCCTCATGATACCTTTCCTAGGCTTCTCCAATCCATAGTTTTAGTTTTTTCCTCCCTCTTAGCTTTGTGGATTGTGTGCCTTGCTTCTACCACCCATGAAAACTGACCTTGACCTACTGTTTTCATCTTCATGTGTGGGAATGAGGGCAGGACCGCATACAGTGAGCCAGTGCTTGAACACAGGCTCGCCATGTTGGAGGGGACACAGTTGGAGAGGTCTGTTGACTCCTCAGAAAGCAGCAGGAAGGCTTTCCTGGGATATTGGTAGTAGAAAGGCAGTGTATGCAGTGGCTAGGAAGTGGGGCTTTAGAGTCAGATGGCTGGGTTTGAACCCATGTCCTCTGCTACCATTTCTGGGTGTTGGGCAAATACCTCCATCTCTCCATGTCTCTTTTCTCACCTGTAAAATGATCACATAAATTAGCGCATGGAAGATGTTTAGATCAAGGCTGGGCAAAAATGTGGTTATCATGGTAGCTGAACGATGTTTTTCTGGTAATAGTACCATTATTGTCAATAGAAGGAAACTGCTATACAATAATGCTCCCAGAACCCAAAAAGTACTTGTCCTTTCTTTACTCATCTTCATCCTGCAATAACAGGTAAGGTTGCAGGGGAACATCCTGAGGGCTTTACCTTTGTTCTCATTCTCCTAAGAGCACAAGTCAGGTAACCTGAGCTCAAGCCCAGGTATGTGGGGCTCTCAGTTCCTGCTTGCTGTCGCCCAGCCATTGCCCTGGCGATCTTTCAGAGCACAGGGCAGACCCAGCCATGTGCTCCTAGGGCTCTTCTGCACTGTGACGTTATCAAAGTTTGGTGGTGTTTGTTCTTGGGAGACTAGGGCTAGAGCCTCCCATTGCACATGTGGGCTGCTTTTTTCTAAGGCTTCGCCATTCCATTCCAACAGAGCCACGTTGCTGTCTTGCCCAGAATCTTCTCCCCTCTGTGTGTGACTGAATCCAGTACTGCACTCTCCCTAACCTTGCCCGCTGCCTGCACGTCAGTACTGCCTGGACCTACCCGTGTGGAAAACTCACTGACAGGACGTTTATGACCAGAGAGAGAGTATACTGAGTACTGGGTTGAAAAAAATCAAAACAAACCCAAACTTGAATTATTGTTCTGCCTCTGTCACTAATAAATTAGGTGACCTGAGTCTTGACTGCCCTGGACCTCGCATTCCTCATCGCTAAGGTGAGGGTTGAAGGAGGAGACGGCCTGCAGTCCTGTCCAGCTGCACTTTTTCTTTCATTGCTCAAGTTATGTCATGTGTTTTTCTTCTCTGCCAATTGGCTTGTTAAGTTCTTCTGGGGACAAGATCATTTTTTGTATTCCCTCGTATGCCAGTGAGCTATTATCTTATGCATCTATTGCATACATGTATACATGTTAAAAATTCAGGGAATAAAAAAGTACATGTATAAAGAAGAAATTAAAGTCACTCTTACCCTAGCACCTGGAGATAATCACTGTGGCCCCTCAGAATCATTTTTTATGCACCTTTAGGTATATATGTACATATGTGTGTATGTATTTTACCATTTTAACTATTTATTGTGGCAGAAGATACATAAAATTTACCACTTCAACCCTTTTTGGATGTGTGACTCAGTGACATTTGGTACATTCATGTTCTGTGACCATCACCACCATCCATTCTCAGTAAATGGGTTGCCTCGTTTATCCCTAGCCTACGGGGGGCGTTGCCAGGCAGTTTTGCAGAGTGGGCCGGAAGGTCCCTTGCACATTCACCTGGACTGGAATCCCATCTCTCCCACTGAGCAGCCATGATATTGTGACGTATAATATAAAATACGTATTTGGTCTTCGCCCCAGCTGGCATATAGCTTCCAAAATGCTTCTAATTCCCTAAGTGATCAGTAATAATTGGGGTTTTTATCTGAAATAACTTCAAAGCAATAAAGGTGAAATGGCTATGTTTCGTTATTCCTAACCAGCCCTTTCAGTCCCACCAGAGTTTCTATGAATGAGGTGACTTGAGGACTGGGGCTGGTTGCCAGAGAAACGACCCTGGTTAGAGGGTTGGAACTTTCAGCCTTCACCCCGCCCCGCCTGCGTCAGGCTGCGGGTTGAATCAGTCCTGCCTGTGTAATGATTTAATCGGTTGTGCCAGTGATTTAATCCATCGTGCCTTCCTCATGAAGCCTTCATAAAAACCCAACGAGGACAGGGTTTTTAGAGTTGCTTGGTTGGTGAACGTGTTACCAAACTTTACTGGGGGTCCTGCTGCCTGCCTCCAGCCTCTGGGCAAAAATTGCAGAGGCAGAGGTTTGGTGAAAAAGGAAAGGAGTCTTCATTCTTGAGCAGTGACTAAATCCTATCAGGTCACCGCTTTAATCACCCAAGCCTATCAATTAATGCTAAACTAACACCTGAGTTCTCCTAGTTTTCCCTGTTAGTTTTTAGGTATCTTGTTTCTATGGGTTTAGTTTACAAACTAAAAACAATATAACATACAAAATCTACACAGTTTTGGAAGAATGACAAGCCTCTGGCTCAGAGCCCCTCCCCTCTAGAACACCCAAGAATAAACCTGCTACCCTCTGCCAGGCCAGCCCGATCCTAGGCTGTGCCTGGAGTTCCTTCCCATACGAAACGCTATCTGTTGGGAAACGGAGGCTGCTGCCACACCATCCTCAAGGAAGAAGAGCCTGAGCCTGAGCGAAAGCCAGCTCAGCAGTCGGAGAGCTCTCCCTGAGCCCCAGAGCCAGCCCTTTGTATCTCCGTCGGCTCTGGAGGCATTCAGCTTCCCAGCCAGTCCCACCCTAGACTGCCTGCAACTGCCTCTGCAAACTCCTGCGGCCCCTCCCTACTTCTTCCTGGAGAGCTGAGTTATCGTAATCAGATCTGTGTCCAGTGAGCGCGGAGATTCTAGGACAGTGGCACATCCTGAGAGGGTGCAGAAGCTCCATTCCCCTGTCCCCAAAGCCTGCCCTGTGCATCTCTTCATTGGCTGTTGCAGTTTATAATAAACCGGTAATCTAGTAAATAACTTGTTTTTCTGGGTTCTGTGAGCCGTTCTAGCACAGTAACGGAACCTGAGGAGTAGATTGTGGAAATCTCCGAATAAGCATTTCATGGTAACCCACCTACCTCCCCGCTGCCCCCTTCGTCACTCTGTGGCGGGGTCCTGGCGAGCTGGGATGGCTTCTCATGGCAGGTGTCAGTGACATTCGAGGATGTGGCCGTGCTCTTTACCCGGGACGAGTGGAGAAAGCTGCGTCCATCTCAGAGAAGCTTGTACCAGGATGTGATGCTGGAGAACTACAGTCACCTGGTCTCGCTGGGTAAGGACGTCCCTGGGGGTGCAGAATTTAGATATGGAGCAACTCAGCACCCACTTTCCTGGATAAAAGCCGTGGGTCATCAGAAACTTTGGCTGTTTTGCCAGAGGATTGCATAATTAGATCTCCAAAAATAAATATGGAAGACCTTTCCCCTTTGTAGGCATGGAATTGCCCCACGGGTAGCACAGTCTCCACAGTTACGCCGTGGAGATTGCCTCCCATTTCAGCGATCATTTTCCCATTACGGTTCTTCTGTGTGTGATTGCCCACCTCTCAGCAGAAAGTGTTCCTCAGCCCTCTTCATTGACTTGCCACTTGGCTTTCCTAGTTCTCTTTTCCAATCCAGAAACTGAGGTAACTTAGTAGCTGCTCTCCTGGATAAAAGCCTTGGGTTGTCTAACAAGGTTTCACTGAGTTTTGCTCTGAGATTGTCCTTACGGGATCTTTACAAGTAAATCTTAAAAATATACTCCCCCCGTACTCACGGAATTGCCCCTTGACTGGGAGTGGAGGAGGTGGTATTGATAATCATCCCCTGCTCTCTGTACAATTACACACTAGGAGTTTCTTCATGGTTCAGGCATTATTTCCTTATGATTTATTTTTGTGGTTTCTTTGCCCTTTTCAATAGAGGGTTTTGTTTAATCTCTGGACCCACCACTTGCCTTTCCCACTTGTCTTTTCCAGGGATCAGCAGACATTTTCTGTAAAGGGCCAAGAAGATACATTTTAGGCTTTGTGGGCCACATATAGCTTCTTTAACATACTTGGTTTTTTTTCTCGACCACCCTGTGTTCAAAGTGGTTGAGACATACGTAAGGCCATACGTAAACAGTAGTCTAGATTTCACTGTGACCCAAATTTTGCTGACTGCTGCCATCATGAAAGGAAGTCAGTGTTTTCTCTTTTCAAACAAGCTTAGTACATAATCCTTTCCATAGATGCCAAATTTTATTTCAGTCTATACATTTAACACATTCTTCTATAGGAAGCCAGCGGCGCCCTAATAACCAAGGCTGCATGTTTATGCCATTCCCCTGACATACAACTAATTGTTACACAGTCACATCCTACAAGTCCCTTTGTTTTTCCTAACACACGTCTCACGTCACGGGGACACAACTTGAGCACCTCACTGAAGCTTTTTGTTCCCTCCCCTCAGTTTTCCACTCAGATCTGGCATAGCTCTTTGTGTCAAAACAAAACCAAGTCTTTTTTCTTTTTTTCTGTGAGCAGGACTCCCATTTCCCAAACCAAAAGTGATCTCCCTGTTGCAGCAAGGAGAAGAGCCCTGGAAGGCAGAGGAGGACCGTCCCGGAGGCGCCCCTCTCGGTGAGTGGGGTGGAGGGGCCGGGAAGCCCCGCAGGCAACGGTCTGACACGTGTATGGTGTGGCGTGCGGGCGATGGTCGGGGAACTTTCTCCAGGGTTCTCGGTCCTCAGGACGTGCTGGAGAGGGAGACGCTGAAGACCCCAGACATGAGTGTCCTCTTCTTCCCTGGGAATCATTTCACAGATGAGTCTGTCAGGATCCCTCTTCTCGTCCTTCCCTGTTGTTTCAGAGGAGACAGCATCCTCATGTGTTCATTCAATGAACGTGGTGTATTTAAGGACTTGCAAGTAGTTCATTCTGACTGAGGCTCAGGGTGTGTACATGGGGAAAGAACGAGACGAAGAAAGAATTTTAGAAAACTTGGGGGCTCTGTTATAAAGCGCTTTGGTACAGTTCTTAGAGATAAGAGCTGTCTGGTGGGTGACTGCAGAGGATTTGAAGCAGAAGAGTTATATGGTCCTTGATATTTTGAAAAACTCGGTCTGAATTTAACAATTTAATGTCCTTCAGTAAGGGCACAGCTGAAGAAGCTGTGTTGTGTCCCTACTCTGGTCAGAAAGAGAGCACCAGGTGTGGACAGAGCTCCCCCCAAGGCATGTCAAGGACTAAAGCAAGTTCTGGAGCATTGTTAGGCTGTGTCACCATTTATGTTTGAAGAAAATTATGTGGGTGTTTGTCTACAGGTATAACATGCAGGTAAGTACAGAGAGAAAGGTCAGGGGCCCAGCTTAGCTGGTAAGAGTTACATTTGGAATGGGATTGAGAATGGGCGGGATAAAAGGAGACTTTTTTTACATGTAGTCTTTTCATTTTTCACATGGAGAATAATTCATGAAGCCATTAGTAATTTGATATTAATAAGAACAATCACTTTGGAAGCACTGCAGGGAATAGATTTAAAGTGAGGCAAAACTAGATATGGGAAGTTTCTGGATACTAGTGCACACTGTAAGCAAGATGTACCTAGGCCTAGAAGGAGGCAGTGTAGTGGGATTCAAGAGGGAATGGGAGGGGTCCCTTGTTAAGGGTATAGAACGAGTTTTGTGTGGCGTGGGTTCATTTGAGATGTGAGTGAAATACTGTGGTAGAGATCGCCAATGGGCAGTTGTATAAGGTACATGGGATTGGAACTCAAGAGTCAAGGAACCGTTGGTACAAAAGTGGCACTGGAGGCCTTGAGCTCAGCAGCGAGGGGACAGAACAAAGGACAGAATTCCAGGAAACACCGGCATTTATGAGGTGGATTAAGAAAGAAGAATCGGGAGAGGAATGGGAAAAGAGGCTGTGGTAGAAGTTGGGGACAGAAGGACGCAGGGCCTGTACTCGTGGAGCTCGCCATCGAGTGGGAGACGCATGTCCGTGAACTGAGAGCACACAGCAGGTTCCAGCCAGGACCTTGTGGGAAAGATACAAAGTGCTGAGAACCGAGAGCAGGACGGGTGGTGTCGGCCAAGGCATCCCTGAGGAAGGGTGGGTCTGAGGACAGGGCGCACTTCAGGCGTAGAAAAGGGCATGTGTGAGCATCCAGAGAAGGAGGCCAGGTGTGCAGACAGGAGCGAGCAGGGAGGAGGGTGTTAGTCCCGCTGCTGGGTATGGGCTGAGCTGTCAGAGGGCGAGAAGAAGGAATCCTTTCCCTTCCGCGCCTCAGGACCTCTGCTGCATGTGGAAGTATCACTTCCCAAGTGAGCCTTCTTTGGATTAAACAGCATAGAACACATGACTGGGGTCCAGTGCTGTCCAGAGAGACACTGGGGCCAACTGGTGAGGAGGTCGGGTCCTCAGTTAGCCCTGCCCCAGGTTTGGGAAGACCTCTGGAAGGGGAACCATGAGTGGATGTCCGAAGGAAGGAAGGACATCAGAGACAAGCAGCGTGTGCTTTCCTCAAGGATGAAAGTCAGACGGGATGTCCTGGGCGTGTTGACGTGTGGTTGCATCTGTTCTGCGCCCCTGGCAAGTCCCCTGTCTGCCTGGGTGGAAGTGGCCTCAGAACAGTGTCCTTTCCCAGGGGGAGTTCCCTACCCCGTGAGCTCGGGTGAAGGACCTGGATGTTCTTGAAAGTAATGCAGACTGTTAACTCCAAACCAGAACCAAAGACCTACCTTTTGAATAGCTGGTGACAGAAAAGCTTATGCTCCCAGGTTGGGACTCCTAGAACCTCTAGTTGCCTCAAAATATACTTTTTAAAAAATTATTTTCACTTCAAAACTGTTCACAAGTAGGAAAAACGCAACAAAAAAGAAAAACTCTGAATCATCTCTGAGTGTGTAGGTTTTAAATTGAGAGGTGGTAGGAGGTGGCTCAGCTGCTGTGCACCTAGTCCCTTGCTTAAGAAATGTGCCATAAGTCTAATCAGTGAGTTATGCTTTCTGGAAGAGTTGTAATAAGAATGTGATTATATACAAACTTGTACATCCCAGGAGTTTGGTTTATACCCAGATGTGCATGGATTCTTGAAATCTAAAATTTAAAAATCAGTGGATGATCTAGGTAAGTAAACTGTTACCTGCAATGAATAAGTATTTTCCTTATCTGTTTCTCTTCCTGTGTTATCACAATGCAGGAAGCCATGTAGGGTTCCCGTGCAGGGTGGTCAGCATAGGGGGCGTGGTGGGCTGCCTTCCTCCCAAATTTGCTGGGGCTGCTGTGCAGAGGGCACAATGTCTTTTTCTAACTTGCACAAAAGTGCTGTCGGGGTGAGCAGCCTAGTGAAATAGCATGCAGTGGTTTTACTTATTTAGTGAATGTATTACATGGTGGGGTGGAGCCCAAATACTCTGTAGTTGTGATAATGTGTTTGAATTAGTCTTGTTTTTGCCCCTGCCCTTCCCAACAAAGACTCCACCATGGGCCCTGCACCTCTCTCCTGCCGCCAGCATCCACTCTCCTTGTAGCTGCCAGGATGATTTATTTAAAAGGCAAATCAAGTTATATCATTCCCACGCTCAAAACCTCTAGTGGCTTCATAGATCACATCCAATCCCCAGCGTGGCCTGGTCCCAGCTGTCTCTTCACCATCACCTCCTTCTGCTCTGCATTTTGAGGACTAATGACTGCTGGCTTGCAGTTCTTGTTCATCTCTTCAAAGAACTAGAGCTTGTGTTCATTGCTCTGGATTGGTGAACACATGGGACTTCTTAGAGAGTGGTGTGCTCGGAGAGGACATGGAATCGCTACCATTTTCTAATACCTTGCCCCATTCACCTGACTCTTACCAAGTTACAGTCTTTTATAATAATATGGTGATCTAGTGAGTAACATGTTTTTCTGAGGTCTGTGAGCTGCTCTAACAAATTAGTTGAATCCAAGGAGGAGATCGTGGGAACCTCTGATTTATACTAGTTGGTCAGATGATAAATTGGGTCTTTCATTGATGCCTGAAGTGGGTGGGGAGGCAGTCTTGTGGGATTGAACCCTTAGCCTGTGGATCGGATGCTGTTTCCAGGTAGGACACTAAACTGGTATCTGAGAATTGCTTGGTGTTGGTGTGGGGACCGCTCCCCTTCCTCCTAGCACGCACATTGGAATTGGATGCAGAACTTTAATATCTTACAGGCAAAAATAACTTGAAACAATATTGTTGATTTTGGTGGTTATAATAAGTATATGTTTGTGTTCACAAAGAGTTCTTACTCTTTAGAAATATGTTATGAAATATGGATGAAATGATATAATATCTGGGATTTATTCTAGCATACTCTAGTGGAAGAGATGTGAGAGTTTATATTAATGTTCTCAGCCTCCTATAATAAAGTAATGCAAACTGTATAGCTGAAAACAACAGAAATACATTGTTTCCCAGTTCTGGAGACTATAAGTCCAAAATCAAAGTAGTGTTGGGATCGTGCTCCCTCTGAGACTGGGTAGAATCCTTTCCTGTCCCTTCCCAGCCTCTGGTGTGGCTCGCAGTCCTTTTGCCTTGGCTTGCAGTTGCATCACTCCAGTCTTTGCTGCTGTTGTCCCTTGGTGTTCTCTGTGAGTGTCTTCACATGGACTTCTTTCTTTACACGCCTGTGTCCAAATTTTCCTTTTTTTAAGCACACCAGTCATATTGGATTAGGACCCATCTTAATGACCTCATCCTAACTTGATTAAATCTGCAGAGATACTATTTCCAAATAAGGGTCACATTCTGAGTTTTTGCAAGTTAGGATTTCAACATACCCTTTTTAAGTGACAGAATTCACTCCATAACAAGGTAATAGATGAGACAGCATTAGTGATCGTTGAAGCTGCCTTGGAGATAACATGTACAATTCATTCTACTTTTGTATATGTTAAACATTTTCCATAATAAAAAGCTTAAAAGTTAGAATTATCAACAACAAAATTTCTAAAACAGCATTATTCTTTTTCAGCAATACAAGTATTGAAAAGGATGTTTACAAATGTGTAGTACTGCCTCTTATGATAGTGTTATGTAGGGTTCCAGCATGTAGCTCCCTCCGTAATCTGAGTTTTAAAAATCTTCTGAGACTGCAAATGTATATGATATTTTTACAGTGATAATTTTGAATCTGACCAACGATAGGATAAGGGAGGGAGGGCTACTTCAGGAAACAAGTCTAGAAAGCTGGCTTGGATTTAGAGATTTTGATGTTGCCTTTAGCCCTCACATTACCCCTCCATCGACGACTGATCCTTTAAAAACCCAACTTAGATGTTTCCCAAAAAAATTCTAACCAGTGCCTGTATCCCTTTGCAGCCTACACTTTCCACTATTTAAGGGTGATTTGGATGCTATTCTAAGCTCACTTTCTCCTCCATTTTTACCTTTTGTTGTAGAAATTATCACATTATGCTGTGATTGCCTACTTCTTCTTTGTCTCTATTGCCAAACTGTAAACCCCTTGAAGAAATTAATGTTTCTTTTTATGACTGGATATAGAATATCTTGTAGCTCGCCAATGCGTAGGGTAGAACCTGGCATATTATAGGTGACTTTTAAATATTTGATGAATGAATTAAATAAGGAATAGTCAGTGCTTTTTGAAACAATAAGAAGAGTTCTGTATAAGTAAGAGGGAGATAGATATCTAGTGGAAAATAATACTAGAAAGGCGAAAAGAAGGATCAAATTGAGGTTCAGCAACAATAGTCACTATAGAGTAAGGAGATACTGAACTTGGATGTATTAATGATGGTTGTTAGAGACATCTTAGTGATGAGATTTAAAAGAATCTGATTACTGAGTAGATTTGGAATACAGCGAAGAGAAGATTCTGATTCTAAGAATTTATGGCAAAGTAACTGAAAAGGTTATGTGATTCAGAACTGGGAAACAGAAAAAAGTTTGAAAAGGAATTCACTGGGTTCAGGTTTGGACAGGCTGAGTTATTTAAAAGAAAGATGCTCAAATGGAAAATCCAACAGTCAATTGGAAATACCTCAGTAAAGTATTTTGAGAAGAGTCAGGGTAGTCTAGTCATTCACACATGAAGTGTGGGAGTGGATGAAATCATTGAAGGAGAGAAACTTGCAGAGTGTCATAAGAGCCAAGGGAGGAGAATGTAGACCTAATGACATGGACTAGTCAGGATGGTGGTCATTAGCAAGGTCATTCTGGATTCTAAACTTCTGACTTAAGTCTTAACCTTATTGATGAGATAGCTCAGGCCTAAGCTTGATTCTGGAGCAGAAGCTAAACTGCTCCATCAGCACTTCAGGAAACATCTATAGGCTGTAGAATACTTGTAAGTAGATCCTAAGGAACAATTAGAAGGTCCACAATTTAGGATTCATATGACTTAATGGGGAAACACAACTTCAGGACCAAGGCATTGGCACTTTGGAGTAGAGTTGAGATGTGGTTACCAGTATTGGTGTGGATCATTGTAGCTGTAATCACTTCCATTAAAAAATAAAATCACCCCAGGTTGTATTTCTCTATTTTTCTTTAAACAAAAAATTTTCAAAAGTGTTTCTATACTTTATGGTTATACTTTTTTTTAAACCCCCTCCTCCCATTGTTTCTTCTGTATACTCCAGTGGGATTTTCTTCCTTATTATTCTATAACAAACACAGTTAATAAATTTCATCTTGACATAATCAGGATGAAGTTTTTAGCTCTCAGATTCTTTGCCAAAGTTGATCGTTCACTCCCCCCCAAAGTACTTTTTTCCTTTGGCTTCTGGAACACATACTGTTCTGATTTTCTTCCTTTTCTTGACCTCTAGTGTTTCAGTGCCTAAGTGCTCTCTTTTAGTTCTTTGGCTTTAAATAAAACTTAACCTACAGATGACTCCCAAATACCTAACTATAGCTCTGACCTTTTCTCAGATCTCCAAAATAACATATACAACTGACTGTTTCAGTGTCTTTTTTTAAAAAATATTTTATTTATTTTTAGAGGGAGCGGAAGGGAGGGAGAAGGAGAGGGAGAGAAACATCAGTGTTTGAGAGAGACACCAATCGGTTGCTCCCCACACTCCCTCAGTCAGCGACCAGGGCAACCCAGGCATGTGTCCTGACTAGGAATCAAACTGACGACCCTTTGGTTTGCAGGCTGGCACTCAATCCACTGAGCCATACCAGTCAGGGCTGTTTCAGTTTCTTCTTTTAGAGTCTACTAAGACATCTTATCCATAACTTACCAGAAACAGAATGCTCCCCAGCCCAGGCTTGCCCACTGCCTGGTCTTCCCCTTCTCAGTAACTTGTACCAGGATTCATCATTTTCAGGCTAGAAACCTAGGAGTGAACCTAGCATTTTTATTCCCTCTCAGCACCCAACCTACAGTACAGCGGCAAGTCCAGTGTTGTTAGTACTTCCTTAATGGTATATCCTGATGAAATCACCTGTACCTGCACCCCTTTCTCACCTACCTGCAGTATCCTCTTAAGTGGTTTCCCTCCTTCCTGTTTCCACTTGTGCCCCACCCTTCTGTTTTCTGCATAGTAGCTAACTTGAGCATGCGATTTCCCTGTGGCTTTTGGTCATGCTTAGAATAAAATTCCAAAGACCTTACTATAACATAAGAGACCTTAATATGATTAATATAACCTTTTGCTCCAGTCTCGTTTACCCTTTTCCCTCTTAATTACTGCACTCGAGCCTCTTTGCTGTTCCTCTGAAGTCACCACACTTTTGTGTTCTGTTTCCTTTGCCTGGGAACCTCTTTCTTCACACATCCATATGGCTTTTATTTACTTATTATTTGTCACTTCATTTTCCCCCTTCCCCTCAGCACTCACATATACACATACCAAAGTGTAAGTTCCAGAACTCCATCTTACTCATCACATTGTCTACATTCCTAGAACATTACCTGGCACATGATAGATACTTAGTAACTATTTGTTAATAAAAAGGGTGTTTACAGCACATGCAAAGATAAACAGGAAAAAACATGGAGTGGTCCAGAAACTGCACATAGTTCAGCATACCTGACAAGCCAAGGGAGGGAGATGACAAAGGTGGATAAAGGTCGATTGTGAAATACCTTGAACACCATGTTAAGTACTCTGGACCTTACGTATAAATCATTAAAGATGAATTGGAAGTTTGCAACATCATAAGATACTGCTTTTTGAAAGATTACTCTGGCTACAGTGTGGAAACTGAATTGGTAGAGAGCAAGATTTGAGACAGGGAGACTAGTTAGGAGACTATAGGAGACTTCAGTTAATCAAGGGAAACAAAATGCCATTTAGGTACCTGTGCTCAAATGTTCAAGGCTTTAGTAAAGGTGTTGGTCAGAAAACTGCGGTCTTTACACACAGGCATGAGGCAGGATCTCAGACTTTACCTTATTACAAGCTAGAATCCAAATTGCAGAATCTTACTCTAATATACTAAACCTAGAACCAGTGACTGGGATAGTCACTGGGGAAAGTACTCCAATTTTTTGTGTGTATGTGACTGCCTTCCATACTTTTGCCCAAACAATGTATTGAAATTTGATCATTTAATTTATCAAGACTTAGATGGAAAAGGAGCTAAGAAGTTGTTGGGCAGAAAGTAAAAAACTCCTCTTTCCCTTACAATAAATAGTAAAGATATGGGTGCATATAAAATTAGTCAAGGAGTGAGTGTAGAGTGAGGGAAGAAGAAACCAAACTCTAGGAAATACTAGTTTTAAAAAGGGAACAGAAAAAGTTATCCATGAAGGAAACTGAGAAGTGAATACTGGTAGAAGAAAAGAAGAGAACATAATACATTATGTTTACCAAGCAGAGGAAATACGCACATAGGTAAGAAAGTGAATGTCAGGTAGGAATCTCAAATACAATGAGATGCAAAGGAGCCCTTTAAATTTTTGGTTATTTTATTTTAAAAAGTTTATTTAAAAAAATTAATTTATTTTTAAATGTATGGTTATGCATTTGTCAAGTGAGGAATATATAAGTAATTAAGGAAGGTTAACAAAATATGTTGTATATACTTTGGATGCCACCAGGAAGATCTAGAGGTAAATAGGGCATACTAATCTGTTTGTGAAGAACCCTTAGAGGAGAAAAGGAAAATAACATTTAGATATTATAATGTTTTTAAAACACTGGTAAGTGCTTTAATAAGGAGAATGAACTATGGAAACTCAGAGTCAGGAAAAGACTCAGAAAGAGTTAATTTTTGAACTGAATCTAAAAGATATGAAGGAATTTGGCATGAGGGAAAGGAAGGAAAACTGCAGGTTAGGGATGATTGCAAAAAGAAGAGAAATGTCATGAAGATAACTTAGGAGTCTGTCATGGACTTTGGACTCTGATCCCAGACTGCCTTTCCCAATTCATGCTCTCCTTTTCTCCATTCACAAGTTCTCCTGGTCACTCTTTCACTCACCTTCTAAATGGATTTATTCTTTTTTTCTACTCTTGTACTTCATCTCTCAATATTTCTCTATACTGCTTAAATTTTCTAAAATTTTCCTTTAGCTATTTTTTTGGTGGGGGGGGGAATACCAAGATCTTATTTAAATATGATCAATATTTATTTATTCTATACATTTTTGTCTCTGTAGCCAAATGCTATATCATATGAAATATCTTGTGTTTTTTCCCCCTCCAGGATGGAAGAGCAGTCATAAAACCACAAAGTCAACTCAAACACAAGATTCTTCATTTCAAGAGCTGATAATGAAAAGATCCAAAAGAAATGGACCCTGGGACTTCAAATCAGAAAATCCCTGCATATATGAAGACAGATTAGAGAGAAAGCAGAAGAAAAAAGAGAGTGTTCAGATATTTTCAGTCACCCAGAAAAACATTCTTACTATAGAAAGAAGACATAAAAATACTGAATTTGCCCAAGACTTCAGCCCAAAGACAGTCCTCATTAGGCAGCAGCTGATTTCTAGTGAAAAAACACCACCAAAATGTGAAATACAAGGAAACAGCTTCAAACAGAATTTAAATTTACTTAATCAACCAAAAAACAACACAGCAGAGAAACGCTATAAATGTAGTATATGTGAGAAAACGTTTATTAACACTTCATCCCTTCGTAAACATGAGAAAAACCATAGTGGAGAGAAATTATTTAAATGTAAAGAATGTTCAAAAGCTTTTAACCAAAGTTCAGCTCTTATTCAACATCAAATAACCCATACTGGCGAGAAACCTTATGTCTGTAAAGAATGTGGAAAAGCCTTTACTCTTAGTACATCCCTTTATAAACATCTAAGAACACATACTGTGGAGAAATCCTACAGATGTAAAGAATGTGGTAAATCTTTCAGTCGAAGGTCAGGCCTTTTTATACATCAAAAAATCCATGCTAGAGAAAACCCCTATAAATATAATCCAGGTAGGAAATCATCTAGTTGCAGCACATCTCTTCCTGGGTGTCAGAGAATTCATTCCAGAAAGAAGTCCTATTTATGTAATGAATGTGGTAACACCTTTAAGTCTAGCTCATCCCTTCGTTATCATCAGAGAATTCACACAGGAGAGAAACCTTTCAAATGTAGTGAATGTGGGAGAGCCTTTAGTCAAAGTGCATCTCTTATTCAACATGAAAGAATTCACACTGGAGAAAAACCCTATAGATGTAATGAATGTGGAAAAGGCTTCACTTCTATTTCACGACTTAACAGACATCGAATAATTCATACTGGTGAGAAGTTTTATAATTGTAATGAATGTGGTAAAGCCTTAAGTTCCCACTCAACACTTATTATTCATGAAAGAATTCATACTGGAGAGAAACCATGTAAATGTAAAGTGTGTGGGAAAGCCTTCAGACAAAGTTCAGCTCTCATTCAACATCAGAGAATGCATACTGGAGAAAGACCCTATAAATGTAATGAATGTGGGAAAACATTCAGGTGTAATTCATCTCTCAGTAATCATCAGAGGATTCATACTGGAGAGAAACCATATCGGTGTGAGGAATGTGGGATATCTTTTGGCCAAAGTTCGGCTCTTATTCAGCATCGAAGGATTCACACAGGAGAGAAACCCTTTAAATGTAATACATGTGGGAAGACTTTCAGACAAAGCTCATCACGTATCGCCCATCAGAGAATTCATACTGGAGAGAAACCTTATGAATGTAGTACATGCGGGAAACTTTTCAACCACAGGTCATCTCTTACTAATCATTATAAAATTCACATTGAAGAGAGTTCCTAGAAAGTAGACTTATATATGTGAAAGCCTTAAACCAAAGCTTACCAGAATACATGACAGTGATGGAATAAATGTAATGGATATCTAAAAACCTTTCTATAAGTTAGTCATCAGATGTTAAATTCCAAGGATAAATCTTGACTACATAATAGATAATGAGACAGTGGAAAGTGTTCATGTGTGTCAGACACTTTTAAAATAAACTGGAATGAATTCAAAACAGGAGCATTAACTTTAGGCAGTTGTAAGATAAAAGAATTGTTTTATCTCTACAGCAGTGTACACTAGATACCATATGTGATTGTCCATAATATCTGGGCCAGGGGGTGGGGTGTGTACACTGGATTTCTCGTTTTGAAGAAACTATAAACTGGTAATACTTTTTAAAATAAGATTTTAATGGCATATAAAAGATGTGATCTAAGAAATTACACAGTTTTAGAGAGAAGGACCAAATAAAAGATAAAAAGAACTGTAAACTACCTCTCAGCTTCTGGGGTTTGTCCTTTTCCTCACCGGATGTCAAACTTTGTGCATGAATTTCATTTAAAAATATAAATAAAAGTCTGTTTTCTTCCTTTGTTTTAGTGATTGCTTTGAATTGGGCACTTTCTACCCAATTTGTAATTCTTTTCTCAGAATATTTTCCCCTGAAGTTATTTATTGTGAAAATATACCTGCCTTACACTGTGAGCTCTTATTTTAGATATATTAAGTGGAAAAATTAACAATTATTTCAGTTTTGAAGCTATTATATGACTTTAAGTATATATGTATATATATTTACATATTTCATATATTAAATATATATATTTAAATTTGCAACAGAGGAACTGTCAAAAGTTGAATGAAACTTCACACCTGTGCCAAAATATTGAAAGGCACATGATTAGCTTCATGATATAAAAAAGTATGTTATCCTTACTTGGTGTTCTATAGTGTCGAACAATTTCAGGAAAAAAAAGGAGTACTTATAAACTCAGTATTTGTTTTTAATCCCAGTTTTGGGGAAGATACTATACTGCATGGATAGGAGGTTTAAAAAGATATAGGGTTTAGGGAAGCCATGAATTGGGGGAAATGAGGGAGAATTCAGGGACTAGCATATGAGTAAGGGATTATGTCACAGTATGTAAATACAGTTGTTTTAACAGGCATATAGGTAATTTGGGACAATATGTTGAAATAAAACAACATGGAGGTTGCACAGAATGAAGAAAGGAAGTTGAACCTAACCCAGCAAACCTGGAAATGTAAGGTAATGCTTTCCAGAGGCAGTGACACCTGAGCCAAGATTTAAAAGAAGAGTAAGAACTCTCCAGAGGGTAAGATAAGCATTTCAAATACGAGGAAACTCCGTATATAATGACACCTTTGTGGAAACAAGGATAGAACTAATGAGCAAGAGAATGATACGTTAAAGGTTAAGCAGAAGACAGGCCACATAACAAAAGGCCTAGCTGCCATGCCAAGAAGTTTGCATTTTATTCTGAAGTTGATGGAATCAAGGATTTTTAAGCAAGGGGAAATGTTCTGGCAACAATGTGGAGAATGAAGAAGGCCAAGTAGGTAAATACTGTGCTTGCCTCCTTTTATGACCACATCAAAATTACAACTAAATCAGAATAACCACCTTTGAGAACCACCTGAAGACTAGCTGAGCAGCACTGCTATAACTAAGGCTATGAAGAAGAAACCATGTTGAGATTGGTAGGAGGGGAGAGCAAAATGGGCTGGTCCCACACCTGTGTGGCACTTGAGACTCAAGAGGGGTAACTCAGCTGTGGAAGTCTCTGCTAAGGAGTGAGGTCCCAGCCTCACATCAGGCTCCCCAGGCCGGATCGCCAGTGCCAGAAAGTGTCCCCACAGTATGTGGCTGTGAAAATCAGAGATTCTGTCTGGGTGAGATGGAGGGCCACTATAGCACCCCTAAAGGCATCCTCTTAAAGGACCATGCACAGACTTACTTCCTGACAGACTTGGTTGCTTTAAGCTCCAGTAGTGATGCAGCAGATCAAAAAGCGCCAAGGACATAAGTGGAGGAAACAATGGTCTGGCTTCAGGGCTAGGGATAAAGGGTCAGCTCTGGCCCACATAGAAGTGCTGGCAGGCACCACTGTTCTTTGTTGAGCCCTCCCCACAAACAGCAGATAGGTGCCATATCTGAGTCTCCACATCAATTTGGCTAACACTGCTCTCCCCACCCTAGTGATTCCCTGAGACTTCACCACACTGAGCCCTCCCACCAGCCCATACCTCCTTCAGTGGCTGTTCTCACAAGCTACTGACCTCAGGCCACTCTGGATTTTCCTAAAATCTCTCAAAGGTCCAAAAATCCCCAACAGGCAGTGTTTGGCTTTGGCATGTTCAGTACCTCTTGCTAAGTGGCCTCAAGCCTGGCAGTAGCAGCTGGCCTCCGTTCACAGCATAGGCAGCTACAAACCTCAGATCACTTTGTAACTCCTACTAGGTGGCCCCTGGCCAGGCATGGGCAGCACCTGACCTGGGTCCCCAGAGCCAGCACACCTGATGGACAGCTTCAGACCACACTAGAGCCCTGCTAAAATGAATCCTGATCCCTGGGATCAACTCCTGCACAACAGCTAGACCAATCTTCACAGCCAGATGGCCTCAGGGTCACCCCATGCACAAAATACCTACTATGTAAGTCCACCCTTACAAGACTTGGGAGACATTGCAGATCTATCTAACACATAGAAACAAACAGGCAGCCAAAATGAGGAAACAAAAATGTCCCTAATGAATTAACAGGGCAAAACTAGAAAAAGAACTAAACAAAATAAAGGCAAGCAATCTACTAAATGTAGAGTTCAAAACACTGATTATATGGATACACAGTGATCTTAGAGGAAGAACAGAGCAACTCAGTGAAAATTTACACAAATCATAAAGGATGAAAAAAATGAATACAATAAATGAATATCAGAATCAACAGCAGATTACATGAGAAAAAAGACCTTTTGAAACTAGTATGAAACATTCAGTATCAAAATGATGGAAAGTCAATATAAATCAGAATATATGAGTACTGACCACTAAAACTAAGGGATATGTGATTAGCAACAATAAAGATACGTTATAAATTTCCTGATTAAAAGATGTGAAGATAAAATAATCACAGCAGGAGTTGTATTTGTCATCCATGCTGTATCTCGTCGCCATTTTCATTACCATGAATCTTTTCTTCACAAAATACTGACCAAACATACCAGAAGTATTTTCTAACTCTAAAATTGCAAATGAATTTTAAAGTCCCAGGGTAAAATACTGCAATAATATAAAAATAGCTAGTTTATTACAGAAATTATTAAAGCTCTAAAATGACGTACAATTTTACAACTTAAAACAAGATGTGATACAATGCAGAAAAATATTTCCCTTTGCTTGTGCAATGTTTGTCTCATGAAAGAATCTTGCTTAGAAGACTATTGCAAGTAAAATCCCTTTCAGATAAAACATCAAAAACAATATAAAATTTTTTCGCAAAAATTTACTTATTGAGTAGAGTTAATGAGGAAAATGCCCTGACTCGGGTAAATCATACAAATGCAAATTTAATGGATGGCAAAAGTTCAAACCATTTATTCAAAGTTGAAACAAAGTCCAGAGGATTTTATGGAATGTGTTGGTGGTCCTGCCCATATTCTGCATATTCGCATAGTTCTGTACAGACAACATCTGGTATCCTTTCTGTTGATACTAACGTAATTAATTACTTCAGCATTTACACGGTTAAAGGATTTTTGTGATTTGATATGCATTTAATAATCTTCAACTCTCCAGCATTCAAAAATTTGGTTGGACTTCCAGTTTTAGCTACAACATGTAAAAGCATGGAAATCATCACTCCTTACAATGAGGAAAATCTGGACAAGCTGGTAATGGCTTTTATCTTCTTGAGAACTGAAGCTGCTGGGCAAATTGTGACACTGAAATCTGCAGACATGCATGCCCAGCAGACAGCTGAGGTCTGCTTAGTTGGAACAGAAATTGCTGTAGTAACCAGGTGCAAACATTTAAATGGTAATTTTGATGAATTGCTAAAGGTTGAGTAAGGACTAGCTTGGAAGTGGGAAATTCTTGGGAGCCACAGTCTTAAGGGATCTCACAATTCCATCACCATTAGCTCCAAAAATCCCTTCATATTTACATGGTGGTGACCTGAAAAATACCTCCTCGGGGCTCTGGCAGGGAAAGGATAACCATTGTGAGATACACCCAGAGCCTTCCTTACCAAAAAAGCCTACTCTCCACAGTGGCACGAGGCACAGAAGCAAGTTTTCCCTTCTCTTGGGATGGGAGAAAGACAATGGCTTGCCAGCGGGCCAACAATGGCTTGCCAGCGGGCCAACAATTTCTTGGTGTCTCCATGTGTGCATTTGGGATTGAATTGGTGCCCAGCCGGCCCTCTGCATGTTTTTCTATAACTTACTGTAGTAAATATATGTATACACACACACACACACACACACACACACACAATTTAACATTTTAACTATTCTTAAGTGTACAATTCAATGGTGTTAAGTACAATAATACTGTTTTACAACCATCACCAGTATCCATGTTCAGAATTGTTTTTATCACTCCACACTGAAACTCTTTACCCATCAAACAATAACTACCCATTACACCTCCCTTCAGCCCATGGTAACCACCATTATACTTTCTGTATCTATGAACTTAACTAGTCTGGGTACCTGGAATACATGGAATCATACAGTTATTTGTCCTCGTGTCTGGCTTATTTCATTGAGTATGGTGTTTCAGGGCTCATCGATGTAACATGTATCAGAATTCCTTTTTAAGGCTAATAATATTCCATTGCATGTATAGACCACATGTTGTTTATCTACTCACCCATCATTTTTCATAACTTTTAAATTTTATTTTTCATTTATAGTTTGCATTCAATATTATTTTATATTAGTTTTATATGTACAACTTAGTAGTTAGACAATCATATACTTTACAGAGTGGTTCCCCTGATAATTAAAGTGCCTATCTGGCATGGTACACAGTTATTAAAATTAATTTTTTTATTTTTTGAATATATATTTTATTATGCTATTACGGTTGTGCCATTTTTTCTCCCTTTTATTCCCCTCCACCCTGCACCCCCCCCCCATCAGCATCCCCTGCCCCTTGGTTCATGTCCATGGGTCCTACATAAAAGTTCTTTGGCTTCTCCATTTCCTATACTATTCTTAGCCTCCCCCGTCCCTTTTGTACCTACTATTTATGCTTCTCATTCCCTGTACTTTTTTCCCCATTTGCCCTCACCTCTGATATCCATTTTGTGATTCTGTTCCTGTTCTAGTTATTTGCTTAGTTTGTTTTTGTTTTTGTTCTTCTTAGGTTCAGTTATTGATAGTCATGAGTTTGTTGTCATTTTACTGTTCATAGTTTCTGATCTTTTCCTTAGATAAGTCCCTTTAACATTTCATATAATAAGGGCTTCGTGATGATGAACTCCTTTAGCTTGACTTTGTCTGGGAAGCACTTTATCTGCCCTTCCATTCTAAATGATAGCTTCACTGG